GTTTTCTTGTGCCCAATAATGCATAATTTCATTTGATAAACACGTTTAGATTGAATGGTAATTTATAATCAGTCACAAGAACGTCGAATCTGAATCACTTGAAAAAAACACGGGGGTGCTTAACTTTTTTCCAGGTGTATAGTTCATGTGAAACTCACCAAAGGCATGTGTCTAAAACCTTGGTTAACCTTCTGATCTTTAGGACACCTTGCTTCATAGTTGTAATCATCAATGCTTAAAATGTAAACAAGAAAGATTTAGCTTTAATACAGGGAGTTCATGATAATAGATACTACTGAATAACAATCAGACACACAACTCATGATGATAGATACTACAGGATAACAATCAGACACAGAACTCATGATAATAGATACTACTGAATAACAATCTGACACACAACACATGATGATAGATACTACAGGATAACAATCAGACACACAACACATGATGATAGATACTACAGGATAACAATCAGACACACAACTCATGATAACAGATACTGCTCAGTAGGAATCAGACACAGAACTAATGATAATAGATACTACAGGATAACAATCAGACACAGAACTAATGATAATAGATACTACAGGATAACAATCAGACACACAACTCATGATAATAGATACTACAGAATAACAATCAGACACACAACTCATGATAATATTTACTACTCAGTAGGAATCAGACACAGAACTAATGATAATAGATACTACAGGATAACAATCAGACACACAACTCATGATAATAGACTACTGAATAACAATCAGACACACAACTCATGATAATGGATACTACTGAATAACAATCTGACACACAACTCATGATAATAGATACTACTCAGTAGGAATCAGACACAGAACTAACGCTAATAGATACTACAGGATAACAATCAGACACATAACTCATGATAACAGATACTACTAAATAACAATCAAACACACAACTCATAATGATAGATACTACTGAATAACAATCAGACAGAACTCATCATAATAGATACTACTCAGTAGGAATCAGACACAGAACTAATGATAATAGATACTACAGGATAACAATCAGACACAGAACTTATGATAATATTTACTACTCAGTAGGAATCAGACACAGAACTAATGATAATAGATACTACAGGATAACAATCAGACACACAACTCATGATAATGGATACTACAGAATAACAATCAGACACACAACTCATGATAATAGATACTGCTCAGTAGGAATCAGACACAGAACTAATGATAATAGATACTACAGGATAACAATCAGACACAGAACTAATGATAATAGATATTACAGGATAACAATCAGACACACAACTCATGATGATAGATACTACAGGATAACAATCAGATACACAACTCATGATAATAGATACTACTGAATAACAATCTGACACACAACTCATGATAATAGATACTACTAAATAACAATCTGACACACAACTCATGATAATAGATACTACTAAATAACAATCAGACACACAACTCATGATAATAGATACTACTCAGTAGGAATCAGACACAGAACTAACGCTAATAGATACTACAGGATAACAATCAGACACACAACTCATGATAATAGATACTACTCAGTAGGAATCAGACACAGAACTAATGCTAATAGATACTACAGGATAACAATCAGACACATACCTCATGATAACAGATACTACTAAATAACAATCAAACACACAACTCATAATGATAGATACTACTGAATAACAATCAGACAGAACTCATCATAATAGATACTACTCAGTAGGAATCAAACACAGTATTATGATTTTATAATAAGAGCCCAGAACCATTATATAATAAATGTAAATCAAAGTTTCACTATTATGTTTTTATAATAAGGGCCCAGAACCATTATATAATAAATGTAAATTAAAGTTTCAGTATTATGTTTTTATAATAAGGGCCCAGAACCATTATATAATAAATGTAAATTAAAGTTTCAGTATTATGATTTTATAATAAGGGCCTGGAACCGAGCCCAGAACCATTATATAATAAATGTAAATCAAAGTTTCAGTATTATGTTTTTATAATAAGGGCTCAGAACCATTATATAATAAATGTAAATCAAAGTTTCACCATTATGTTTTTATAATAAGGGCTCAGAACCATTATATAATAAATGTAAATCAAAGTTTCAGTATTATGTTTTTATAATAAGGGCTCAGACCCATTATATAATAAATGTAAATCAAAGTTTCAGTATTATGTTTTTATAATAAGGGCTCAGACCCATTATATAATAAATGTAAATCAAAGTTTCAGTATTATATTTTTATAATAAGGGCCCAGAACCACTATATAATAAATGTAAATCAAAGTTTCAGTATTATGATTTTATAATAAGGGCCCAGACCCATTATAGTTAAGAACTAGTCAAAACAAGTTTGAATTAAGTTTACAAAGAATGGCTGGGAACCAGTTAACAGAAACTTTCATCAAGAGTTTACCCACAATACCAAGAAATTTGTCATCAGTAACTGGTGTAAACTGTTAATGAACAACATATCTGAAAGATCTCTTGTAATTCATTCTGGAGTTTTAGAAAGATCACTTGCCATTTGATTATAGTATGTAACATCAATTTCATAGCTGAAATTGTATCATTTCAACATATGCTACTTTTATCAAATCAACAACTTATAATACATTGTTACCTCTGGTATACTCCCTTCATATGAAGTTCTGTCATGAGGTGAGGATCATGAGTACCAAAGAAAAGTCCTATCTGTTAAACAAAGCATGTAAGTTTAAGTTTATGGAAGAAATCTGAGAAATAAAAGCAAGTGAGTAGAAAATATATATACAACTAAAAACAGACACTATATATCAAGAAAGTTGATTTTTACCATTCAACTATGGTTTAATACAAGCCTTGTTAATGAATTTTATACAGCTTGGAATGAAACCAGAAAGTATTTCATGAAACTGTTCTACAGTTAGCCATCATGGCAAATGATATATTAACAATAAACTCTGAATTCTGCTGTCTTTAGGTATTGTGTCTGAAGTGTGTCATGTTCAGATGTCTGTATTGTATTGTGTCTCTAGGTGTCTTGAAATGTCTCATATCTAGATGTCTGTATTGTATTATGTCCATGACACACTTCAAGACACTAGACATAACACAATACAGACATCTAGACATGACACACTTCAAAACACCTAGAGACACAATACAATACAGACATCTAGACATGACACACTTCAAAACACCTAGAGACATAATACAATACAGACATCTAGACATGACACACTTCAAGACACCTAGAGACATAATACAATACAGACATCTAGACATAACACACTTCAAGACACTAGACATAACACAATATAGACATCTAAACATGACACACTTCAAAACACCTAGAGACATAACACAATACAGACATCTAGACATGACACACTTCAAGACACCTAGCTCTAGATGTCTGTATTGTATTATGTCTCTAGGCATCTTGAAGTGTGTCATGTCTGGAACTTCTTTATATAATTTTTTACTGTTTCCTACGGTTATGTTAATTTAAAAATTTTTGATTAGCTAATTATGTATTTTATGTTTCTATGCTTTCTGTTTGTTCAACTATGAATTTATTGATTGAATACACATTCACTGCACTACCAGAAGGGACTTCTGTTTGTCCAACTGTGAATTTATTGATTGAACACACATCACTGCACTGCCAGAAGGGACTTCTGTTTGTCCAACTATGAATTTATTGATTGAACATGCATCACTGCACTGCCAGAAGGGACTTCTGTTTGTCCAAAAGTGAATTGATTGATTGAACACACATCACTGCACTGCCAGAAGGGACTTCTGTTTGTCCAACAGTGAATTTATTGATTGAACACACATTCACTACACTGCCAGAAGGGACTTATGTTTGTCCAACTATAAATTTATTGATTGAACACACATTTACTGCACTGCCAGAAGGGACTTCTGTTTGTCCAACAGTGAATTTATTGATTGAACACACATTCACTGCATTGCCAGAAGAGACTTGACAATTATGAATAGTTCTTAGTTTTAAGGAAAAAAGAGGTGCTAAGCTTTAACACTGTGCAATCTGAGATCCAATAGTGCTTGTTATGCATTTGGTGCAGTGAAGGGTGATGAAGCAACACTTAATACAAATGTTTGAAATACTTCCTAATTACTTAGGGGTTTAGGATTTTTTTAACATTTTCTTTTGATGTTCTTTTCATTCTTAATTAAGTTTTTGTATTATATTATGCCATTTCAAAGCTAGAGAAATAATATTCTGTGGAAAGACATTGAGCAGGGATATTAAGGTTCAGTGAGGAAGGTAATCAAAGTCCTACAAAAGTAAACTATTCTAATGTTAGACTCAATTTTCTCTTATTGAGTTAAGTAATGTGTTCAAGTAATATACAAAAATATAACAACCTTTTCTTATTTACTGAAATTAAAGCATAATTGTTTTTTTATAAATAATCTTGACTGGAAACACCATTGGCAATACACCATGCCTAACAAAGGTAAAGATATCCCAATATTGAAACATAGGGTAAAACTTTGTCATTTCAGCAAAATAAAGTATGAAATAAAATACACTGATGAATATCAAACAACATAAAACTATATATAATATGGCACATTATAATGAAACCCAAAAAGCCTAATATGAAAGGAAGTATTTTTACTGTTTCTCAAAACAGAATATCACAACCTATCAAATGAGAGAAATAATAAATCATATCTTAAGAATTTATCCTTGCACAAACTAAACATATATATATCAAGTTTGTACTAAGTTCCCTGCAACTTAGTTAAGTATTTTTACCAGGAGAATAAATAGATCAAGATTTACAGGTGATACTCATCTGGTCCAAAAAAGGTTAAAAATAAAATCCAAATATATATATATACTAAACAAGAAAACTAATTGTACCCTAGAATCATTTATGGTTAAAGAAAACAGTTATATCGTAACTGTCAAGAGTTTAAATACTCACTCTGATTCAAAGTTATAGGTATACCTAATAGCACAGATTCATCAAGTCCAAGTTATTATTCTGGTAGTTGAGTTCAAATACTTGCTCTACTTCAAAGCTATGGGTATACCTGTTAACAAAGGTTAAATATACCTAATAATAAAGGTTAAGTAAACCTGTTAATAAAGACTCACCAAGTCCAAGTTATTATTCTGGTAGTTGAGATCAAATAATTGCTCTACTTCAAAGCTATGGGTATACCTGTTAACAAAGGTTAAATATACTTAATAATAAAGGTTAAGTAAACCTGTTAATAAAGACTCACCAAGTCCAAGTTGTTATCCTGGTTAGTGGCCACAATGAAGGCTGCATCATCCAATAAATAACATAATGCAATGTCCTACAATACAGAATATTCACTCTTAATTACTGCTTATAAGTAAAGACATTATATCAATAACTAGTTATATTCTGCCAGGATGTTATTTGTGTCTAAGTTATATATGGGATAAATTATCAGTAACAACTAAAGTTTCGAGCATTTTTCAAAAATGAAACAACTGCACAAAATAATCTTGGCAGAATGATTTAACTTTTATCTAACTCATTAGTGTGAACACATAAAACTCCATCTGCATGTCAATTTAACTTTTAATATATTTAATTAATATAACAAACAGATAACAATTATTTGTATATAACATCTCTCAAAAAAAAAATCTAATTTTATCTAATTTCTTTAGCACAGAACTATTGTCCTGCACCAGATGGATATTTTTTAATTATTTAACAGATTTCTATGCTCTCGAAATTTCTAAACATTTTTCAAAGTCCTCTATATCCTATCAAATGTTTGGTTATCACTATGTGTAGTAATCTTAGCTTTATCAAAGTATGAAAATAGCAATATTTACCCATTTTAATAAAGGTTCAGAAAAAAACGACCTTTACACTCCAGAGAAATATAAAATATTATATTCATCAGGGTTCATATACACAACTGTCTGATAATATTTTGTAGAATATTTATTATATTATAAAAGTGTTTGTAATGTTCTATTTCTTGAGTCTGTCATAATGTGCATCTAACAATGAATAAAATATTATTATTGTTTCATTATTGTACTAATATTATAGTATTGTTATAATACTAACTATGTAGCTATAAAAACATATGACATATATTACTTAAATAAAATATAAAAAACAAATAAAATAAAGAGAGCCATAATATGTTTTATGATTAACTGAATACACACAAAGACAAAAAA